AGGGCCGCGCTGTGGCGGGGGCGGGGCGGGGCGGCCGGGCCTGCCCGCTCCTCGGGCGCCATCTCGTGGCCGCTCTCCCCCAGGCCGCGGGGCGAGCGGGACCGCGCTGTCCGCCCTCACCGCGCTTCGGTCCGCCCTCAGGAGACCGGGGACGGGCAGCAGAGTGCTGCCGAGCGCGACCGCGCTGTCCGCCCTCACCGCGCTTCGGTCCGCCCTCAGGAGACCGGGGACGGGCAGCAGAGTGCTGCCGAGCGSGACCGCGCTGTCCRCCCTCACCGCGCTTCGGTCCGCCCTCAGGAGACCGGGGACGGGCAGCAGAGTGYTGCCGAGCGSGACCGCGCTGTCYGCCCTCACCGCGCTTCGGTCCGCCCGCAGGACACAGGGGACGGGGAGCAGTGTGTCCCTGCCGAGTGCCCCCCGACCCCACAGCTGCTTCTCGCCAGCGGTCCGCAGAATCACAGAATCATTAAGGTTGGAAAAGACTTCTAAGGTCACGGAGTCCAGCCATTACTCTAACACTGTCAGGTCCACCATTAAAATATGTCCCTAAGTGCCACACCAGCACAATTTTTGAACACTTCCAGGGATGGTGATTCCATCGCCTCAGACCCTGACCAAGACTGAACTCAGCAGCTAGTGGTTTATTTGTCCCGAGATCCAGCTTAGAGCGTTACCTAGTTAAAGACCAGGCTTTTTGGTGATAAAGCAAGAAAAGGCACAAATGATCTTTCTGATTACCAGCCATATCATTGTGACTGCGCAACCACCACCTCCAAAGGCGGGCAGAGGGACAGCGAGCAGCCTGAACACGCAGTACCCCGTGTCCGCAGCCTCCTCTCCCCACGCCCACTGAGATGTCACGGCAGCTCTGCAYGGACAGAGGTCCTGCCGCTGCCCCGGCCTTGGGCAGCCGGGTGTAAGTCCCTGTTTGCAGAGGGGGCTCTGGGCAGGGAGGCTAGGGACACATCCCGCTCACACACCACCCTCCAGGGCTCTCTGGCAGCACAGGACTTCAGTCATYTGTTGGCCAGATCATTCCATATGTTAGTGCCAATAAAAAGAACTTCCTGTCTGACCTCGAGGAAGCCACTGGATCTTGCCATGCCTCATTTTTCTGCTTTATAAACCAGAGCTAAATACTTTTTTTAAACTGTGTAATAGCACTGGAAAAATCCATGCTGTTTCCATTGTGCTCATCTCTGAATATCCCTCCTTTTGTAACTCATTATCTAATTTCTAACCCCTAATTAACTCAGCTGCTACTCCATCACCCTTCAAATATTGCTTAGAGAAGAAAACAAAGTCTCTGCGATTAAATGAACAAGTTTTTCTCAAACYTTTCTCTCAAACATTGTCCACTGTGATCTAAATGATGCTGGGGAGCACTAGTGTCATTGCCATCTGTTGATGTGCAGCACCTGGATGGGGACAGATACAACCACCCCCACAGTCCTGGGACAGACACTGCCCTGGCAGCCACTGGCCTGCCACATCACTGGTGTTCATGCACAGTCAACTTCACAAGAAGGAAAAGAATTAGCAGCACTTCTGGTCAAAGCAAAGGAGATAGCACGAGTTCAAAATGACTTTCCCGTGACCACACAGGAAATCTGCAGTGAGATGGAGGGTATGACCGGAGACTTGTGACCAAGGCTCATGCTGGGCGCGGCAAGGGGCCACCCCTTCAGCAGAGGTGGAAAGGCACATGCACATGTTTCTGAGATATGGATACAGAGTGAGCTTAATGCCTTTCCTTGGCAGAACACATCAGCAACTGGCCTAAAAGGTGAATTAAAAGTGAGCTCTCTCTCAGCACTTGCACTAGATTTTTTTTTTTGCTTTGGACTTAATTTCTTGTAAGCAAAGCATTACTTAAATCTGGTGAACTGAATTTTAAAAAGAAAAKAAATTCTTATGCCTATTGATGAAAAAGAAACCCCAGACATGAAACAGTCTTTTGCCTTTCATGAGAGTCATCTGCAACAGGCAGCCATGGAGGGTCTGTCCCCTGTGTGTGCTCAGTGCTGGTGGCAGCCAGCAGCAGCTCCAGGCAGGAACTGATTTCACTGGTCTCCCAAAGGTAAGTGCATTAGCACAGATCCCTGCCTAAGAAGACAGAGAAGTCAGGGCAAACACAGGAAACACACGACATCTTTAACAAGAAGGCCAAAGACTGCAACAGAGCCGTGGCATAAGGTTGGCAGGGCTGGGATTGTGCAGATGTGGGGATAATGGCAGCATGTTCCCGGTGAGCACCACAGATGCCATGTGCTCTGGACATAAAGATTCTTCAATCCCCACAAAAATGGAAAAACTTRTTTTCAAGAACAGGGGGGAGGGGGCAGAGAGATATAGAAACAAATGGGTTCAAACAAAGTTTTATGAGGGGAGCTGGAGTGCACTCAGCCTGTAAAACAGCCCATGGTAGTGTCAGGCCACCACTGGGCAAAGGTACTTCATAATGGTGTATAATCAGGTTTTATGAGAGGGTTACCACTGTCAACAGGTGATTGAATASCTTTTTGCATGATGGACCTTGCCAGGGATCAGCAGGGTGAAAGACAGAGTCAGCCATTTACCTTGACATGCTTCTTCCACACAAGCCAAACTAATTGCACACGTCAAAAGGAAAAGGCAAAGCATGGCTTTCATCCGCTCCTGATAACAATCAGATAGGGCTCTTCCTGTCTTCTCCAGCAGCCCTTCCTCCAGCACAGCATGCAGAGGAGGAAGAAAATACAGCTTTGAAGGTCAGGTAATGGCCTAATTAAAGCAGAATTCCAACTCCAACGCTGTGGCCCTGCCCTTTTAAAGCACAACACTGGGTCAGGCTGTCAGTTGTGGTTTAGTGCACTGGTGCTGCTAGCACACCCCTAGTAATATGCTCTTTGGCTTAACRTGGGTCATTTGACAAGGGGGTTTCTAAATAATTGCAGCAAGTGCCAGGAGACACGTGTTAATTTTAAAGCAGTTATTGCCCTGTGAAGGGTGCCTACCCCCCARCCATTGGAGACAGGGAGAGCTTTCAGAGGTCGTGAAAGGTCTCCCCTTCAAAAACTAAACCAGAGTGGGTAGTGAGGGATGGGGAGGGCTCTACAATGGCCTTTGCAGCAACAGTCAGGCAGAGTTTAAATCTGTTACTTGCCCAGAGTTCCAAAAAGTGTGCAGTGGTCTGGTGGGTATGGAAAGCCCTAGGAGCATTGCTCTCTAAAGCAGATGTGATGTTCTAACCCCCAGCTTGCATAGACATGCATTTATGGCCCATTGGTATTTCCTTGGAGTGAAGGAGGAGGTAACATTCCTTTTGACAGTATTACTGCATGGCAAGGGCACAGGTGCTCTTGGGCATGTTTTTAGTTMGACATAGGCCTGAATGTATAGCAAAAAATGAAGAGGCTTTTTTGGCATGATCTCAATCCAACAGTCTCATGCTTTCATTTTCTATGACTAATCCTTGCTAGGTCAGGGAATGATGCTTGCTTTCTTTTTCAAAATGAARCAAAATAACCTCTTTTTACCCTGTTAAATGTTAATGGAGTTTGGGCAAGAGGGATGTCGGTCTGGGAACAAAAGTGTGTATGTTCTATCTAATATGATGCTTTCTGTGTCTCCCCAATTCCTTCCACCAGCTGCCTACTTCACCACAAGGCTAACTGAAGATAGGGCTCTGAGACAACACTGTTACCAACAGCTACAGCTGTCCAAAAGGATCAGATCACCTTCTCTGATCTTTTTCTCCTTGTTTTTTAAAATAGTTAATGTAGCAGACAAACAAAGAAGGTAATTGTGACATTTCTTTTCTCCAATCACATAAAACTTCAGAAGCAAGAATCAGACTTGGGGGGAGAAAAGCARGCGCAATTGCTGTGCTTGTAATCCCCTAACGTTGCCAGCACAGACAGCTGTTCCTATTCTGACTTTTTTCCAAATCAGTCAAAGTTAGGTCCAACTTTTAGAAAGCAGTTGTATATTTCTTTATTTCCCACTTCAGGGACTAGGATTAATCTGGAGTCCCAAATAACAACATCTTGTTCCTTGATATGGCCAACAAYAGCAAATTTGAGGGATTCATAACTCATGATCAGTGCTGCAAATACAGCACTCTCCTGACACCCACACCTGTTCTTTGACCCTTCATGGTGCCTGAAATGGGACAGGCAAGTACAAAAATTAAATTCTGTATTAAGACATAAATTATTACTTTATTATATTAAAATGCTAGAGGTTAGTACACCTCTAATTGGGAACATTAGTCATGCCAAGGTAGAAAGTTATATGGGAAGAAGATTAGCAAAAAGACATAGGAGGAGCCTGTGCAGGGCTCAAGAGGTCTCAGCTGAATTCCTGGCTCCTCCACAATGTTCTTGCCTAGCTGGCAGCAATTCATGTATACCAACACCACTGCTATATTTGAATGCACCACACTCTTGGTTTACAAGTGCAGAAAAGCCCAAGCTTGCTGCTATCCCAGCACAAATCAGGATCAAAATACCTCAGCAGGCAGACCCAGCAGGTGTAAGCCTTGTTTCTCAAAGCTGTTCCCGTTTGCTGTTTCCCACTGCCGGCAGAGGTGGAATCCAGCGAGCCATTCTCTCCCGGGCACRGCAGCCCTGCCAAGGCAGCAGCCAGCCACGGGCCTGGGTGAGGCTGCACACAGGCAGCAGCAGGGATCACAAGATGCAGCTTCTCAAGACAGGTGAACCCCAACAGTGTTCCAGTGCCTTACTTCTGACACAGGACAACAGTACCAGTATTTTCTAGCCAAAACACTGCAAAGGATAAAGAGATTTTATTCAATACTATCCAGTAATAAGCAGATATTATGRCAGCCACATGGCAATATCTCTTAGCAACACAGGCTTCCGTTGGATCTGCAGCACTTTTGCTTTATGCGTCATTAAAAATATTTCTGTGCAATAATACTAACACAGCCCTTTATCTAATCGATCTACAAAGAACAAGCACCTATACTGCTCCAAAATAGTAAAGAAAGTGCTTACCTGATGGAGGATCTTTTCTCTGCTGGACAGATAATGATGACAACAGGTGTCTAGCGATGAGTGGAAAGACGAGACATGCAAGATGAAGCAATTCACCTCTGGCATCTGTTTGTCTACTTGCTTTGCACGTGCAGGGTGAAACATCTGTCTCTGATGAGTAACTGTGGGGAAGTTACTTCAACTTCTCAGTAGTGCTCTGTGTCATTTGAGAGACTGGAAAATCCTAATTCCTAAAACCTGATGTCAGTATCCCACAACTAACCTTCCTCCTGCATTTCAATAGGCAAGTCTTCACCCAGATGACTGTTTCATCTCTCTGATATTCTTCACAGAAATTTGAGAGATCAACAAATGCTAATAGAKCTCATTTGATGCATCTATAGATCAGCAGATGAAACTTAGAAACCAATTTGCAGGACCCTAAGAAAAACTACTAATCTCAAGGGACATTCAGAGGGTGGAATCCTATCAATTTTCAAGTGATGTGCATGAGGAATTGCACCAGTTTTAAGCAGGGAGAAAATCTGGCTTTGTTTTTAATTTATATTGCTTAACCTTTGTTTCTAATTTACATTGCTTAACCTTTGTTTCTCAAAAATCCTTTAGGATTCCGTTGATGGCCTGTTTTTTGTGGTGGCAACATCACATGAAAACCAGCTATTTATTCCTTGAGGGTTTCCCCTGCCCCCACCTGATTTGGGAAGAGCAGCAGTATGGGTTTTTTGATTTATATGGAAAGAGGAAACCACCCTGGGCAAAAAAGTCTACAGTCAGCAGAAGCAGCACTTTGTCTTCAAAGACTTAGACACAAGGCTCCCAAATGATTAATGTTTCCAASTCACATTTTTCTTGCAGATGTGATTACTGAAGAGAATTTGAAGAGGAAATGATTTTTTAAATTGTTAGAAATGTATATGTGTATTTTCATAAGAAGGCATGAAACAACAGAAAACAATTTTCTGGGTGGTTTTAAAAGAATAAGGTCAAGGATTACAAACTCAGATGCCAAAGTGTTGTGATGTTAATACCTTGGCTTTCCTAAAAAGTTACTGATACTTGCTCAATCTGAAAAAAAAAMCAACCCATAAACAATTTACTACATGACTACATATTAACATAAATAACTAAATTCAGGTCCACACTTGAAAAATTGACAAATACTGTCAAATGTCACAACATGTAGTATGAATTGCTTTCAGCTATGGGTTATCACAGACTTCAAGAAATTTTAGAACATCCAGTATGGCTGTATGGTACCCAGGTCCCCATTTCCTAGTCTTCTGCACTGTTTTTGAAACTAGACAGAAAGACTTCTAGTTTTCAACCATTATTTGAATTCGGATAAACAAAATGAGATTGGCAAGGGGGTGAATCTACCAGTGCAGCTACAGAAAAAAAAGCACATTATTTTGGATTTTGAACATCTTTTTCATGCATACGATAAGAATAAGAAAGAGTTTAAATTACCACACACAAGACAGATRTTAAATGATGAAATTAATTTGAACAATCATCTGTGAATATCTATGATAAACCATGATGACATCAGGGTTTCTCTATCCTCTCTCAGTCACAAGGTACACAAAAAAATTGCCTTGGAAAACACTGTTGTCAAAGGAACAACAACCTTTATCACATCAGGATCTTTCATTGTAGAAGGCTCTTTCAAACTTGTTTCTTAGGCACTTGATCAGAGYGCAGTCCCAACAGTACTCAGATGCTAAGAGATCATTTCAGACACACAAAGAAGCTGGATTTTGAAAGCACATTCACACATTTGCCTGTAACATGACTACTTACAAGGTTTTCAACCTTGTCTTCCAAAGCTTCCTTTGGCCTTGTAATTCACTCTTCATTCTTCTCAGTATGATCAAGTGGTAAAAACTATGACTTTTTATGTGTAGACACACACACACACACACACACACACACACACACACACATATATTAGAGAACATTCCTGGATGGGTGAGTTGGGGAAGAGGGAGTATAGAACCAAAGATACACATAAGCTGACTGCAAAGCTTTGCTTAATAAAACCTGTTGATTGCAGATTCTCGTCAGCCACTTTTCCTGCACATAGATTAAAAAAAGTAAAAAAATCTCCCCCAAGTTAAATATCCTTGCCAGATACATGGGGTAAATGMATCCAAAGTGTCGTATGCATGCACAAGCTAATTCAGCACAACACTCGAGCACTGCCCCCACACACAGGACAGGGACCTCCATTGCCACCAGGCTCTCAAAGGTGACCCTGAGTAAACAGCAAATTTGATAAACTCCATACTGGAGTGTGATCTCATGTGCTACAACAATATGGCAAGATAAGCCTTTGGAAGGCTTGTGAAGGAACAAAAACTAGCCCATTATCTCACAAAGCCAGCTGAAAAAAGGAGAGACTGATCACAGATGTCATACACTCATAGATATTTTTCCATACACTTGGGAAAAAAATGGGCACTGACAATGTTTGCTGGTGTGGGGAGGGCACCGACATGTTCCTGTTTGGCTCTGTTTTAAGGAGAGAACTCCCTGTTCATCGTAAAAAAAAAAAAAAAAACCAACCAAAAAAACCCCTCAAAAAACTTGTGGAAAAGTTTTGTAGAAAACATTTACAGCAATTTTTGCTGAAAGAAAAACTCAGCTTTCCAACCATATCTCTGAAATAGCCTTTAGTATTAACAGATGTCTGTTTGGAATCTGCCTGAGCCAGTGAACTCATCCTGAATGGACATCAAAAAAAGTGCACAATTTTTGCTCCACATAATCTGAATGTCAGATGCTTTCTCCCACACTTTATGGGTTTGACTTCTTTTATGCAATTATACCTTCAAGAAGCAAAGACATCACACGCAGAGCATATGAGCCTCCCAGTCAATGAAATTTGCTTTTCCAGATCTATAGTTTAGCTATAAGTAGTACAGGAGCAAAGTGCGGGAAGTAGGTATTTGGTCTGGGGTTATAAATAGGAGACATTTCATTTGGTGGTGTACAGGCCTTGCTTATAATAGCAGCAGCCTTTATGGCTGCAGCTTTGAGTTCATTAATTCAGTCAAGAGAAGGCACTGAAGATCCAAAGCAGATAATTAGGCCAGAGATAGCCATCATCACTGTTAATTTAAGCAATTACTGCAATATATAGTGGKTTATATTCCTGCCTATGCTTTCCCCTCTTCTTTACAGACTGTCTTCACAGATGTAAATACACCCTTCCCTCCATATCGACTCCTTTACAYGATGTTTGCCCATATTTACACCCATTGTTACACACTGCTGGGAGCAAGTCTTGACAAAGCCAGCCTGTAACTGTGTAAGTCTCTAGCACTTAGGCATTCCTTCTCCTCTTGCCAATTCTCCGAGTCATGCAACATTTTAAAAGTTATTAAATTCTAAATAAAGGAGATCAAGGATTCCAAATTCTATTCTGTGCTAAATCAATATTTGTCAAGACAATAATAATGTCTTCAGGCTCTCTAGGCCATTATTCTCTAGCTTTTCTCTTTTTTTTGGTAAAGAGACAGTTTATAATATTTTCCAGTAACTGTTGCATCAAACTTAAGATTTYTGGTAGAGTTAGAGCATTCAAATTATCATACCAAATTAGGTATGTTTCTGTTTCAAAACAGAACAAGGTTTTTCCTTATTAATACTGAAACTATGTTTGAAATAACACATGCATGTATACAGCACAGCAGTGAATCATTTCTTAGAACACTGGAGGCATGCAATACCTGTAGACTTGAACTATAACCACAACTCCCATGAATCACCATTTTAACTTATTTTGTTCCCAGATTTTAATTTTTTTCAATAGGAAGATTATGCTCTGTGCAATTATTTTGGCAGTCATATTTATTATGAAAGGTTAATGTCTATGTGTAGCAAATGTGAGAATGGATTCAGTATCAGCCTTGTAAGTGTGCAGAAAATGGGCAGAGAATGTTTATCACAGTATTTTCCATTTTTATGAGGATGCAGTTGGTTATTATGACAAGGTGAAAGGTCTCAAAGCCTTCATTTTTAGGCCACAGGTGTTCTTTGTAGAGGTTTTTTTTTAATAAAGAGTATTATTAGTCCTTTAAATTAGCTCTTATTGAAAGTTACCACATCTGCGTTATGTGGTAATGAAGCTGGGGGAGGAGGTCATAGCAGGGGACTTGTGCTTGAAGAAAACATCTGGGCATTGCTTTGACATTCACTAGCAACTTCTTTTATTTTATTAAAAAGTAAGGAAATTATACTGAAATCAATTGCAAGATGCAAACAATAAATAAAATGAAAATACAGGATCTAAAAAAAATTGGTTGGAACAAAAACCACCTTTCCCTTCTCTTGCTCCCCTCCCATGAATTCCAGCTGCTGAGATTAATTACCTGTGCAAATGGCAAAATCGGTTAAAAATGGTTCAACCAGTACTTACTACACAMACTACAGTCATTCTGCCTTTCAGAGGAGGAGCTAATGTCATTTTAAATAAAGATTTTTATTATATTGCAACTTTGTTTTGGCTGTCATTTTGCTTACTACATCATTTCAGAGACAGGTACAGTGACCTTAGGAAGTCCTGTACCTTTATATAGGCATTTTTTTCTTCCACTTCCCCCTGACTGATATAAGCAGAGAGACCTTTTTTYCTGTGCACAATTACACCTATCTCTTCCGTTCACAGTCGTAAGGAAAAGCCTATTTTCAACAAAAGGGGGATTTAAAAGCCTTCAAAATCCTCAAGTGGAAGTTGCTGAGTAACTGCATTATGGTTCTTAATTGTCAAGGCTGATAACTCATATTTAGGAATTGCATTAAGAAACTTGGCAGGGTCAGATGATGTTCAGCTCCACAGCACACACAGCCAGGGATGTTTATAGGGCAGTGGTTATAATATGCCTCAGAAATCCTAAACAGCAGCATACTATGCTCACTGTATTTTCTTGTTTTAAGTCCTTGCTTACAAATCCAAATGACATTTCAAGTTCTTACACCACTCTCAGCACTGCAGTAACTGAGGGTGTTTCCATACCACAGCAATTGGTTGGTCATTTGCTCCCTCAGGCAGGGAAGCACAAATCTATCAATCCACTGTTTTAATGCCAGTTTTCTGTTCTTACAAATCTTGGCTTTAMTATTAAAAACTGTTCATTGACACTTTTAGCACAGTGTATACCCTCTGCAAAMTTAATACATATCTAGTGGCAAAGCCCATGCAAATTCTAAGTRCCTATAAATATATTTGGTTAAAGCTGTATGAAATTATTACAGACAAGCTACACTCCAGATTGTCTCTCCCCTCCAAAATTACAATAGCTGCCAACTAAGTTCACAATACTGTATAACATGTTCCAGAAAAAAAGCATTCAATGTGA